TAGGAAGAGACTAGTATTGCATGCAGGCCACACCTGGTCCTAAGGAGAGACTAGTGTCACGTAGAGTCTTCACCTGGTCGTAGGGAGAGACTAGCGTCACATACACACCTTGCCTGGTCCAAGGAGAGACTAGTGTCACATACAGGCCTCATCTGGTCCAAGGTGATACTAGTGTCACATATATGTCTCGCCTGATCCAGGGAGACATTAGTTTTACATACTCACCTTTCTTGGTCCAGGGAGAGACTAGCATTACATACAGCCCTTACCTAGTCCCAGGAAGAGACTAGGGTCACATACAGGTTTCACCTGGTCCAGGGAGAGACTAGTGTCACATACAGACTTCGCCTGGTGCCAGGGAGAGACTAGTGTCACATACAGGCCTCACCTGTTCTCAGGGCGCCAGAAAGCCCGGCTGATATTTGAGAGACCTTGACTATATCTGACTCATCCACTTATGTCTCAGGTGACAAGATTCCAAGGTGACCCACTTGGAATCTAAGCGTCAAAGGAGAGAGAGTAGATATGAGAGTGGTTAATGTACAATCTGCTCCTTATTTTAGTCAGCATTCTGCTCTCAGTGTTGTGTGTGTCTGACCATGAACTCAACGCAGCAAAGTGAGAGGGAAGGAAGGGTGACTGAACAGTTATCTGGTGCCTCACTTCTCCAGCCTGGCCCCATAGGTCTGGGACAGGGTCAGTGGTTTTCTCTCCAAGTCCTTTAAGGATGCCTGTGGCCTAGTCCAAGGTCACTCCTGGCAACAGTAATAAGCCAGGTTCCTCTTGCATCTGACAGCAGCTGTGGCCTGCAACTTCCCAGACTATAAATAATGTGCCTGCAAGGCAGATACAAAAATACAAAGAGATCAATAGTCTTTTTATCAGTAATGACTGGTTGGAGGTTCAAGGGGGAACTATTCTTGCCAAAAATGTAAAATATCCAGAAATAAATTTCATAGGAAACATGAAAGATGTACAAAAAGTTATTTGACTCTGCTGAAGGCCGTAATAAAAGCATAAACTCACTGCAAGATATATGGTATCCTAAAATAAAAAGTTCAACTATTAAATGTTGGCAATTTTTTCCCAAACGTAATTATCAGTGTAATATAGTCCTGGTTCAAAACACAATATTGAAAAAAGAAAATTCATTTTGAAGAATAAATACACATGGAGGCTGGGTGCAGTAGCTCATTCCTGTAATTCCAGCACTTTGGAAGGTTGAGATGAGAGAATTTCCTGAGCCCAGGGGTTTGAGACCAGCCTGGGCCACTTGGGGAGACCTCATTTCCACAACTAAAAAAAAAAAAAAACAACAAAAATTAACCAGTGTAGTGGCGCATGCCCGTGATTCCAGCTACTTGAGGAAGGATTGCCTGAGCCCAGCAGGTCGAGGTTGCGGTGGCGTGAGCGAGCCACTGAACTCCAGCTTGGGCAACAGAGTGAGACTCTGACTTAAAAAATACACCTAGAAAACAACATTTTGGGGGAAAACAATAAAGAGAATAGCTCTTATCTAAAAAATCAACATTATACTTAAAGTAGTTAGAAAAGAGACCCAGACCCATGAAGCTGGTATTTGCTGCAGGCCAAGCTGGCTTTTGGAGTGGTATTTGGAAATCTCACAGAAAAAATAAATGATTATTTGAAAAAATGAAATTAGACCCCTAAGATACCACAGAAGAATAAATGTCATTAACCTTCTGACGATTGTTAGGATACAGATAGGGTGAGGGAGGATGGAGAGGTGGAGAGGCAAGATGCAGCACCAGTAACCCAGAGATCTGAGCAACACAAAGATTTGTAACACACAAAGAGGCAAAGAAAGAAAAGCTTATTTAAAAGTAAATTAGAGCGAGAAAGAGAAGGAAGAGAGAAGATTCACCTCCCTAAGGTGGGGGAGGGGGCCAAAGCCAGGAAGCATGGTGACTGTCATAGCTCAAAGAGCACATGGCCATACCAGAGTCTAGTAAGGCAGTGGCCATTGGCTGCTTGTGGTTGAGTCCTTTTAACCATTCCCCTAGATGGGGAAAGATCATTAAGGTGATTGGGTGCTGGTCTGCTCAAAGGGGTAGGCAAGCACAGGTACTAACGTCAGGTGATGGATAGCAGGCAGATGGGTGGGTTAGTCACATGATTACTGCCAAGGTGGGGTTTATTTGTGTCATGTACATCACAAAGGGCTGATTAGGTTAGCCCTGGGGGTGGGGGGTTTCCTGCAAGAGACTTGTTAGAAATTTGCAATTCACAAACTCAGACATGAAATTTACAAACTCCTTGACCAAAGGTGGTCGTATTATTACTTTTATAACTTTGGCCAGCCAAAGGGTGATCAAATCCTCAGCCTTGACTAGGAACCTAAAAGTTTACTAGAGATTATTATGCTAAACCATGAATTGAAAGGTTGGGCTATCCTGGTCTTGCATCTGACGGAGATTTGCCAAGGGGGGATGGGATAGGCTGTTGGCTGTTGCTTGTTCGGCAGTAGAACGTCTGAAAGCTTTCTAATGGTTTTGCGGAGGCAAAAAGACTAAACTAAGAATAAGCTAAGTTTTTTCTAGGTTTTTCTAGGTACCACCTTTCAACGGTAACAGTATGTATACATGTAATGAACTTCCGTGGCCCCACCAGGTGCCTGTACCAAGCGTGTTCCAGGTATCATCATGTTTTCTCGTAAATCCATGAGTAAGAGCTGTTAATGTCCCCATTTCACAGAAGACAAGTGAGGCCAAGAGCTTGCCCCAGTCACAGGTGGTGGCACATTTCCCAGGCGATCTGCCTCCAGGCCCCTGGATGTCCCCCGCCTAGTCCCAGACAGTTCTGTCTGTACAAGTCACCCTAACACCCGGCTGTGTGGCAGACAAATGTTCTGTCTTGCTCACAGCTTTGTGGGTTGGGAGCTAAGCGCCACCGGGCAGCTCCAGTGTGGGGTCTGTGTTGCAGTTGGACAGCTGGTGCCGCCGTCTCCCAAAAGCTCAGATGGGACTGGACATCTGCAGGGCCTTCTCATCTGACACCGGCTCTGGCAAGGAGCTGGGCTTGGGCAGTTCACCAAAACAGCCCCAGAGACCAAGGAGTTCCACCTTGGGGGCTAACTCCTTACCAGAAAGCAACTAAAATTCCTACCTTATCTTCTATCTCCTGCAGATCCTGCCAGCAGACAGATTCCTTCAGAAGCAGACACACCCTACCCTGTGGTGGGGTGTGAAAGGAGGGAGAGATGGGGAGTGTGTGCATGTCTGGAGGCCAGGCAGGGCATGGTTTGTTTCAGGACACTGGGTGTGCCAATTGTCTTCAGGCTCTCAGCTCTGCAGGTCTCTGGGGTAAGTTTGCATAGACCTGTCGCCACAGAACACCACTCCAGCCTGTAGGTATAAGGGAGACAGCCTTCCTCGAAGGCTGGCTTCCTTCAGGATGGGGGGGGTGTCAGAGCCCAGCTGGGCTGTGTACCTTCCCTGACCCAGCTTGGGGGTCACCACTGCTGTTTTTCCATTGGTTAGCCCACGCAGAGCCAAGGGGCAGGGAGACAACACTTCCCTTGAGGCAAGACCTGTCAGAGTATGACAGGCCACCGTGCCAGGCAAGTCCCGACAGTAGTCAGACACCGAGAAAAACATCTGTACCAAACTCAGTGTTTACATGGAGCGAGGCCCTGAACTAATCTATTTACAAGGGTGACCCAAAGAAACTGGGACTTATTAAAAATGGCATACTTATATTTCTATGTTTAAACATCAGACACCTTAGCCGGGCTCGGTGGCTCAGCCTGTAATCCCAACATTTTGGGAGGCTGAGGTGAAGGATTGCCTGAGCCCACGGGTTTGAGACCCACCTGGGCAACTTGGCGAGACCTCATCTCTACAATAAATCAAAAACTTAGCTGGGCATGGCAGCGCGCGCCTGTAATTCCAGCTACTTGGAAGGCTGAGGCGGAAGGATCGCCGAAGCCCACTGCGCTCCAGTCTGGGTGACAGTGAGACTCCAACTCAAAAAAAAACTCCCAAAAAAACAAAAATAAACATCAGACACCTTCAACGTACTCTCCGTTTGATGCAGTACACCTATAAAGATGCTTTTTCCACTGCTCAAAACAGTTTTTGAACTCATCCATTTTGATTCCTTTTAGTGCTTTTGCCATTTTTTGGTTTGCTTGTTTGACCTCTTTTACATGGGCAAAATGTTTTCCTTAGAGGGCTTTTTTCACCCAGAGAAACAAACAAAAAAAATCATTTGGGGCAAGATCAGGTGAATGGGGAGGGTGGGATACAGGAGTCATATTGTTTTTAGTCAAAAATTGCTGAATACTCAGTGTGATATGGGCAGGTGCGTTGTCATAGTGGAAGAACCAGTCACCTGTTTGCCGCAAGTTGGTACATTTCTTCTGCAAATCGCGACACAACCTTCTCAAAACTTCCAGAAAAAACTTTGGTTGACCATTTTCCAAGTGTCCTACAAGGGACCCGCCCTCCAAAAGATAATTCCAGGTTTCCAAAGCTCGAATCCCTGGGTCTACCCACCCTGACAGCGGCCAGCCCAGACTCCAAGCCCTCCCCTACCTCCCACATAGGGGACAACCTCCCAGCTGGGGAGCAGCCTCCTGGGAGGCTAAGGGGGAGGTTCTGCATTCCCTCCGTGTGAATTTTCCTGGCTTTGCCTCTGGTTGGAATTTCTCATCAGTGATTCACATGGGCACTCCTGGCCCCTGTGTCCAGGTAGGGATCTCTACAGTCTGTAAATGAATGGACATCAGCCATGACCCCTTTAGTCCCTGGCATCTGGGCAACTCTCCAACCCGATGGGGTCTTGGGTCTGGGAGCTCTGCTGAGACCCTCCCAGTCAGAGGCCACACCCAGCCTCCAGGTCCACCTGCTGCTCTCTTCCTGCCCCAAAACTCAGGTATCCCCCGTAGCCTTGTGGCCTCAGGGGTTCCTCTGCTTTCAGACCCACCAGGACACACGGCACTTTCCAGAGGACCTGCAGGAACCCTGTTGGGCTCAGCCTCACACAAGGGCGCAGCACCAAGCTGATGCTACTCTTTATTGAGGGAGTGGTGGGGTATGCACTTGAAGGAAGTGGGGACAGTGGGAAGACAGGAGCCACCTGCTGTCAACAGTGGCCTCTGCATCCTTCTCTGTCTCCTGGTGCCGGAGCAGGGAAGAGATGCCAGCCAGGGGAGGGAAGTGGTCAAGGGGGTGGAGAGGGGGTTGGCTTGGCCCACGTGATGCAGACCCCTAGGCATTCTGACAGCTGGATTTCATCAAGGACATTGTGCCCAGCCAAGGAACATCATAGATCTGAAAAGAGCAGAACGCCTTCTGTGGGAGGAAAGAGAGAGCAGCCATCAGTGCAGGTGACAGAACAGAAGATGCCCAGCCATGAAATGTCACAGTTGGAGAAAGAGTGTTGGAGGGGAGGCCCTGGCCCCACTGAATTCCAAACACCCAGCCCCCACTGAGCAGTGACCATCATTGCCAGCCTCTCCCCCCGCCCGAAAGTCCAAGTCCACCAGGTAGTGTTGGGCCCCATCTGTGCCCAGGATTCCTGCCCCAGCACAGCCCTGCAGGGAGCAGCCAGGGCAAGGCCTCAGGAGACCCAGAGGGTGCAGGGCAGGAACAGGTGGCTCACTGTCCAGGCTCCCTCTACCTCCAGAGCCAGCAGGGAGAGGGGTACAGAGGAGACCTCAGGGGACAGGAACTCCCCCTTAAAAAGCTGGGTGAGGGGTGGGGTAACAAGGGGATCCTGGCTTTTCCCTGAGAGGAGACCTCATAAAGGCAGCCAGGCAGGTGTCAGGGGGTGAGGTGGACTTCCAGGGCTTTGCCACCCACAGGCCCTAAGTCTCTCTGAGCTGCTCAGTGGGGCTGTGTCCTGGGCAGGTAGCTGGGGATTAGAGGGAGCCCCTTATCCCACCCCCGCCCCAGCCCTGAAGCTGCTTCCTCCAGGCCAGCAGGAATTACCCTAAAGCTCATGGGGCTCCTGTCCCAGGGCCCCATTCCCAAGCTAAAGCCCTCCCAGCCATTGAGATTGATCGTGTGCACACCCTCCTCACACCACATTGTAGGCACACACATGCATCTACAGAAACTCACACGCACCCCTCACCCACATGCATCCACACACGAACTCTACACTCCCCGCAGGTCCACAAACACACACACGCCCACACACCTCTCCACACACACTGTCTATACGCATATCCCCCATATGTGTACACCCTCTAAACACATGTGCACCCACACGTATCTATGCACGAACCCCACTCCAGACACGTCCACACCCACACGCACGTGCGGTGTGCTCATATACCTCCCCACAGATATCCATGCATGAACACACACACATGTACCACACAGGTACACACGTATGCACACACCCCCTCCTCAGCACGCTCTGAGGCACAGGCATGCATGTGCACACAGCCCCTTGCAGCGCAGGCCGGCTGGCCAGTCGGGCACATACCCTCTTCAGATGCGGCTGCTCATGGAAAGGACAGTTCTCCAGGTGGGGCTGGGATTTGGTGCAGGTGGTTCGGCCCAGCTCCACGTCCAGGAAGTAGTTCATGCCCGCCACGATCTGCATGAGAGCAGGGTGACACATCTGTCAGTATCACTGTCTCACACACACACTCACACACTGCACCAGCGCTGAGGTGCACGTGTCCTAGGGCTTCACGCCTGCCAGCACTGTCACTATAAGATACACAAACCACCCTTCCTGCCAGCTGGCAGGCTGCTGGGCCCCAGGTCTCTCTTGTAAGCGGCATCCTCTGTGCCAGGGCAAACAGGGCCTGAAATTCAGCTCCTGCGGCAGGGGTGTGCCCTGGGTCTACTAGGCAGGCCGGGTCTGAGCGCCCAGGCTCAGCTCCCTTCCTGCTCCAGCTGGAGCCAATACAGTCATCCCTCCATTTAACTCATGGCTCAGTCAGGGATGCTGATCAGGCCCAGGCTGTTACTGAAGCTGCTCCCTACCTCTCTAGTTCTGACTGTCCTCCACCTGGGTCTGACTCCCAGGGCGGGAAGTGGCGGGGCATGAGTGGCCCTCTCCACCCCAGCGGGCACTCTTCCTGGGTTGTGGCAGGGGTCCCCCATCTCAGGGTGAAGGATGTCAGCCCTGAGGGCTGCTCCAGTGTGGCTCCTGCAGGGAGGCCTGGCTGTCCAGGACAAGGAGGTCAGGTTCTTGGAGGGCCCCTCTGTGAGGACTCAGGTTGGAGGATGAGACTTGTGGCCTGATCTAGTCTTGGGAGGCACCAGGCCCACCTGGACCTGACCACGACTGGCTGGACCTTTGGAACATGCCAAGGTTGAGAGGCAGGCTGAGAACTGCAGAGGTCAAGAGAGACTGAGCACAGGTCATGGTCATGTAGCATGGCCCACCATGTCCCTGGGCGTGAAGGTGTCAGAGGGACCATCAGGAACGTCTGAGCATTAGACAATGGAGTGGTCAGTGTTGATTCTGGTCATTAAAATGGAATGGTGGTTATATGAGATCATACTCCTGGTTTTTGTTTGTTTGAGTTGGGATCTCACTCTGTCACCCAGGCTGGAGTGCTGCAGCACAATCACGGCTCGCCAGTCTCCACTTACTGAGCTCAGGTGATTCTTCCACCTCAGCCTCCCAAGTAGCTGGGACTACAGGCATGCGCCACCTCACCCAGTTAGTTTTTTGATTTTTTTGTAGAGGTAAGGTTTTTCTATGTTGCCTAGGCTGGTGTGAAACTCTTGGCCTCAAGCAATCCTCCCACTTCCGGCCTTCCAAAATGCTGGGATTACCCCACCCTGTTCTTAAGGAATACACATAAATTCTTAAAATGTTCAAAAATACAAATGCTTGCACAGCACATATACTCACAGCCATTTGCAAGTGCAAATGGAAGGCAAACACGACCAAATGCTAACATTTGAGGGCTCTGGAGGAGGGACTGCAGGGACGCCTTGTACTATTTTTGCGACTGTTCGGTAAGTCTGATATCACGTCAGGGTAAAAAGTTAGAAAAAAATGCTTCAAAGGTCCCTCGGTGGCAGAGCCTGGAGGACAGCCGGGTGAGAGGCCCTGTCTTTCCCCTCCCTGGGTATTTGGTGAGCAGCTGGTGCTGGGCCCTCCTCCGGGAGCTGGGGGTGGGGCGCCGAGAGAGGCACACCCTGACCCTGACCCAGTGCGCCGGCCAGCTGGCGCTGGGAAGCAGAACTAAGGCGCCAGGCGCTGATCCGAGATCTCTGCCGGTTCCAGGCCGAGCCTGAGTCCGGTATCCCGGGGACACGCCCGCCCAA